CTTTCTTTTCTTTTTTCTTTTATTTTGAAAAATCTCAAGCTTACAGAAATCTGCAAGAATACCACTGAATACCTCTATACCCTTTATCAAGATTCACCTGTTTTTAACATTTGTCCCTAGTGTGCATTCTTTCTTTACCTCTTCCCTTCCTTCCTACCTTTCTTTCCTCACCTCCTCCCTACTCCTTCCCTCACACGTACATATGCACATACACACACGCATATACATACTATATATAATATATATATGCACATATACACATGCTTTTTTGCTACGAGAGTTAGCCATAGATATCATGACTCTTCAACCCTAAATACTACAGTTTCTGTTGTCTAAGAACAAGTGCATTCTCATATATAACTACAATATAATCATCACACTTAGGAAATTTAATATTGATATACTACCTGATATCTGATATAGGGTACATATTCAAAATTACTCAACTGTTCCAATAATGTTTATCCATAGCTTTTTTTCCCCAATCCAGGATCTAACCAAAGATCACATGTTAGTATTTAGTTGTTATATCTCTTTGGTGTCTTTTAATATAGAACAGTTCTTTGGCCTTTTGTTAATCTTTCATGACAGTTTTCATTACATTTTTGAAGAATTTTTGAACCAGTTATTTTGCAGGATGTCTTTCAATTTGGATTTGTCTGGTTGTTTCCTTATGATTAGACTCAGGCTATATATTTTTGGCAGCGATGCTACCTGTGTGATGTTGGGTCCTTGTTTTAATTTAGGACCTGTAAGATGGAGAATGCCCCTTCAGTGATTAGAACAGACATGAGATGGAAATTAAAGATTTTATTACTTACAGGTCCTGGGGGCGGGGGTGGTGGTGGTGGTACACCGCATGCCCGGAGGCCACACACATGTAGGTCAGAGAACAAATGGAGAGAGAAAAAGAGAGACCCATGGGCCAATACCTTTACTGGGGTCCAAGACGTTATCCAAACAGATTTCCTGCAAGGAGTTTTAATTGGTAGGTGTAAACCAAGCAGGCATGCGTTCCAGGAGATCACTGTGGCATATCGGCACAGTTCATGTTGGATGTGGGGATCAGTGGGGCCAGTAAAATCGGTTGTATCTAGATGGTGACTAGGAGGAAGTTGCATAAGGCAGATATCAGGATCGATTACATTGAGGAACTGAGGGAGATATACAACCAGAAACTGTGTCAAGGATGACTAAGCCCACTTCTGGTATGAGAAAGTTAAACTTATATTCATAAAGGATGCCTGAGAAACATAAAATTATAAGAATTTACTATAATCCTTCTCAGCGCATCATATCAGGAGGCATATTAGATTGGTTTGTCACTTTATTGATGTTATTAACTGTGATAACTTGGTTAAAGTGGTATCATCCAGGTTTCTCCATATTCTTTCCCTGACAGTCTTTGACCAAATGTTGTTAGCTTCTGTTGATTCATGCGTGAATCAGTTATTACTAATGGCATTGTAAAATGATATTTCTGTCATTCTGTGTATGTTTATACTATTTAGGTCATTAAATATGAAATGTCCTATTTTGAATCAAAAGCATAGTTTATTATATCTCAAACAAGAAGCAGTATAATTAATCAAAGTATGCACCTAAACTATCGACACAGTTTTGCCATCTTAACGGTAGCTTGTTTATGCAGCAGCAAAGAAGCCTGGAGAGCAAGTAGCAATGAAATGTGAAAGGCATTTTCCACAGCTTGTTGAGAATGGAATATTTTTCCTTGCAAGAAGTGGTCCAAAGCCTGAGAGAAGTGGCAGTCAGTTGATGCAAGGTCTGGAGAATATAGTGGATAACAGAGAGTTTCCAAGTCCAGCTTCTGTAGTTTGAGCAGTGCTGTTTGTGCCGCATGTGGTTGAGCGTTGTCTTGCAAGAAGATTGGCCTGTCTCTATTGACCAATCTTGGCTGCTTAATTGCAAGCATCCTCATCATTTTGTGCAACTGGTTGCAGTAGAAATCCACTCTAATGGATTGACTAGGTTTCATGAAGCTGTAGTGGATAATATCAGCGCTGGACCACCAAACAAACCATTAGCTTTTTTGAAGAATATTCACTTTTGGACTATGTTTCGGCACTTCGTCTTTATCCAACCATTGTGCCAAACACTTGCGATTGCCAAAAAGAATCCATTTTTCATCACATGTAACAATACTGTGTAGAAATGGTACACCTTTATGTCATGACAGTAAAGAAAGGCAAGCTTCAAGACGATTTCTCTTCTACTGCTTGTTTAATTCATGCAGAAACCATCTATCTGGCTTCTTTACCTTGCCCATTTGTTTCAAATGATCCAATATTGTTGGAATAGTATATCAAACCTTGCTGCTAAATCCCACATAGGTTGAGATGGATTCACTTCCACTATAGTTTTCAGCTTATCATTATTCACTTTGGTCTCAGGTCACCCATGTGGTTCACTTTCAAGATTAAAATCACCAGAATGGAACTTCTCAAACCATGGACATACTGTGCGTTCATTAGCCACATCCTTCCCAGACACTACATTGATATTTCAAGCTATCTACATTGCATTGGTTCCACGATGGAACTCATATTTGAAAATAACACATGGTTTCCCAAAATTGCTATAAAAAAAACATTCGAAAGATAATTACAAGCCAAAACGTGTGTTTGAAAGACTGAGGATGTACCTTCACAATAAAAATAAAATAAGAAATGTCAAAGTGAAATGTCAGAGATATCAACTGTCAAACTTAGTACTTAAGGAAATCGGAAATTTCATACTTAATAACCTAATAATAATTGAGAAGAGCTTCCCTTCCCCCCTTTTATTTTATAGTTTAGTATCAGTATAGATTCATAGATTCTTCTTTTATTCAATGTCACGATCAGTTTATTTCAATATTCAAATTATCCAGAGTCTGGCCATTGGTAGCCCCTTCAAGCTGGCTTCTTCAGAAAATTAGTACTGCTGACTTTCCTTTTGAGTTTTGTAATTGGCTTCATGAGTAAGGGAGGAAATGGCTTACGATCTACTATAATTTATAAAATTTTCAAGTACCTACCATCTTTTATGTTCCAAATGGTCTTTTGGGTATTTTTTAATGATGTGATGGATTTGCAATGATTTATCTTCATTGTCTCCTGGCTTCTCTAGTGGCCAATGCAAATGTTTGCCAGATGTTTATCATAGTTAGCAACATAGTATATGGCAATGGAAGAGAGCAAAACTGATCTGCGGTAAAATGTTAACCTATAATTGTAGCCTTTATTAACACAGTTCCCTAACCATTTAAACTGTACACTATGCCTGGGAGTGCTGTAAATTTTTACTTTTATAAAATTTATATTAATGTATGAACATTAGTAATCCCCCAACAAAACATGCTAGGAATCCTCTTACCACTAAGATTGAGTTGTTTTTAAAAAAATCTCCCCTAATTTTCTATTTTCTATCTACCCTCTAATTGTCAGGGTTCAAACAGGTAAATTGTCAGAGTTTCTGACAACATCTTGCTGTACACATTTGAGCTTCATGGACCCTGGACCTGAGGGTAAGCTGTACAGTGAAGATTATGATGACAACTATGATGAGCTGGAATCTGGCAATTGGATAAATGACTGTGATTCAACCTATAATGGTAAGGAAGCTTCAGAAAGCGCTGGCCTGGCTAGACAAAAATACAAAATATTGTTTAGCATCGTCCTTAATAATTCATGCTGCCAGCAATCTCACAGTGTACTATCCTCACTCCTGTTTAATACACCTAGATTTCTACTTTTGTTTGGCTTTACTTTTTATCCCTCTACTTACCTTTGGTTTCTGGTCTAATATCCCTGTGGTGACTGTGGAGTATGGAGTTGGACTGTTCTTTACTAAGGTTAGGGAAGATTTCTCTCCCAGACATTTAAAGTGGCTGGTGATTTTGAAATGGAAAGAAGCAGTGGTGAGTGACAGATATTTATTCAAGTGTGTAGTAAGAAAATTATGTACATACAGGACTACTTTTTGACATTAAAAAGCATAAAAATATGAAATTTAACTAGAGTGCTTTTAATGTAATAGTGGAGAGGCATACCAGAATCTCTGGGGATTTCTGTGTAGTTTGAAAAAGCCTATTTGGTATGTCTATTGCTTTCATATTACAAAATAGACAAATAAAGCACAGCAAAGTCAAAACCTAATTGGCTGCTAGGAATACAAAGATGATATAGTGAGAAAGCGTTGAAGGAGTGTGGATTGAAAATGGCTGAGAAACACTGCCCTGCAGTGTTAAAATACTGACCTAGGCAGGGCAAGCCTTATGTTGTTTGAATCCCAGAGAAAGAAGGGCCAGTAAGAGAGAATTACTCTTCTAGCTATCTAAAACATAGTTTGCCTGCTTTCATTGTCTGGGTATTTGACTGTTAGCCTATATCTTAAGGCAACCAATTTCTTTATCTTAAGAGTAGTGTGTTGCAGAAAAGAAAAAGTAAATTTGCTTTCCTTAGTGAGGTAGCAAGCATAATCTCATGTACAATAGACCAACACATTAGCATTCAGAAGGGCTATTTTCCTATCTGGCATTTACTCGCTAAGTACCACTTCATTCACTCTGTATTTGTTTTTCTAAGATCTAAAATAGTTTTCTTTGTTTGAAAAGTACATTAAATATAAGGCTATTTACTATTATCAATAATATCCAAAGTCATGATATCTATTGGGGCAAAAAATGCTTTGAAAATTAGACAAGAATAATCATATATTGAGATTGTAGTAATTTTCATCTGTAGCACCCATTCCCTTGGATTATTTTCTAAAATCTGTCTTTCTGATGACGTGTATTACTAAATTTGATATTATAGCATTCTGAGTCACTTTCCCATCTCTGGGTTTACTCATCAGTGGTCTCACATGCGCATGTTTATTGCTTGCCAGCCCTCCTGTGGGTAGAGAGCTTTTCTCCATATTCTTCATAATCCTCCACTCAAGTATATAGATTGTATTCAAGTTTAAAATCTTTGTCATTAGGATGTCACTGAACATGAGTTCCATTCTTACAGCTCTGCTAGTTCCCATTAGTCACATGAGAGCACAGAAAGACATCTGGAGAGATCAGTGAAGATCGTCAAAAACCAGATGACTCATGATGACTTAGCAGACTTTGGTATTGATCCACATAATATGCTTTTCCAGATGTAAACACTGTGAATATTCATATAAAGCATAAATTATTAAGCATTCACAGGGTCTTTTAGTTTCTATTACCCATATTCAGACATCATGTTATAGAAGGTATGTGGGGAAGGGGGAACCCAAAAGGATAGAGATCAGTATCTATCTTCTGCACCACTGAAACTTCAGCACCTAGTACACTACCTGGTACATAGAAGCCAATAAATATTTGGTGAATAAACAAATGAGGTGACTAAAAAGACCAGTGTGTGGCCAGTAGTCCTTTCTATACCAATGCCACACAAAGATTGTTTTTTTCATTAATAATTGTAGCTGCTATTTTGTAGAATCTGTCTATCTACAATTAAGCTCAATGTTTGGTGGAAAACTTTTACCATTCCCCAGCCCTTCCTCATAAAAGTCTTCTCATACTTGAAGGTTCCTGTTCTGCTTCTCCTCTACCACTGCCACCACCAGTGCCACCACTACCACGACATGCACACACGCACATACACAGATTATTAAATGCTTGCTCCACCTGTCCTCAGATAAGTACATACTGCTTTAAGGAACCCTAACATTATCTCAGCAAAGTTAAAGAACAGGCAGGTCCTGGTAAATGGCCATAGTCTCTCTAAATCTTAATGCTATGAAGTTATATAATGATCACAAGCTTTTTTTCTCCCATGTGCTAAAAACAACCTACTTCTGGTGCTGCGTTGTGGGCACAGGAGCCAGTCATTCTATTTGCTGGGGTAGAATTGTAAAATAACTAAAATATTCATTTTTTTCTCTTCTCCCTCCCCCCACTCACCTTGCAGCTCACTGTGGTGATGAAGTTGCTTGTTATTTAGATCACCTTTTGGTGCACACTGCTCCCCATCCTAAACTAGCCCCTACCTCACAGAAGGGAGGGCTAGATTGGTTCCGAGCTACTGTGCAAACAACCCGCGACTTAATGTCCTTAGTGACCAAGGCCAAGGAGCTGCATGTACGGAGTGAGTAATGACATGACTCACCAGAGTCAGGCACAGGATGATGTGAAGCCCAGGATGTGGGTGGGACATTGATTAAAATGTAAGCAGGAACTTTGTTTTGTTCACTGCTTTATCCCCAGCTCTGACAGCACCTAGAACATAGTATACACTCAAATATTTGTAAAATTAGTGAATTGGGTGTAGTTTTGCTGTGGATGTAGTCTAGTTTAGCCAGTAACATAGTAAGAAGAGGCAGAACAAGACACATGGAGCATATTCAATTTTAACATATAGCTAAAATTGGTAGAAAGGGCTTTTCCTTTGGAAAAATTACTTCTGTGGAAGTAATTTTGTTTAAAGAGAATGCATTGCAAAAACTATTTACAAGATACCCATGTAATGGAGAAGGGAGATAGTCTCCCTTAAGTAAGCTACATTTGGTTCCCTTAAGCTAGCTGTAAATTTTACAGTCAGTTGTTCCAGCCATGTAGACTTGTGTTTGTCAAATACAGTATTCATTCTTAACAACTTTGCCATTCTCTTCTCCATGACCACTACCCTCCTTCAGTTGTATTTACAGTGGAAGATATGTTCTACCACACATTGCCAGGAGTAGTCATGGTTCCTAAGAGTGTTCAATGGCCCTATGGTAGCTGGATGTGAAGGGAGAGAATGGCTCCTTGGCCATACCTAGAAGACCTGAATTTAACATTTTACAGATGATGAGAATGATTGAGATGCATGCTCTTGTTGTCTAAAACTTTATTGACCATTCATTACTAACCAAAGATATTAAACATGGACACTGGAGACTCATTTAACATTATAACAGGGTAAAGCTTAGTATACCCTCTGAGTATGCTCCCTTGAGAAGGGCTTATGTGAAAAGATGAACTTTATTAAGTTATACTTCTCAATTATGAATCAAGAAACTTGAGTTTAATTCACAACTCTGCTACTTACTTGCTCGAACAGTTATTTGAGCTCCGTGTCTCTTTCTGTGTCTATAAAATGGTGAAAATGACAAGAGAGTATCTCCTTAGAGGTTATGGTAAGTATTTCAACAATGGACTGTAAGTAAAAAAAGTCTTAGGAATATCTCAAAGTTGGTCAGCCACTACATTTTTTTGATTCCCTAGACAGGATCATCCATTCAACTATTCTCAGGGAAATCCAACCACTAACAGCCAGATATTTTCCCAGGGAAATTAAAACATAACTGGGTTCTTTCTGTTATATGTGCTCTTCTATCAAAGTGTCAGTGATAGCACCATTGTGATGTTGATTACATTAGTACCTTTAATATATTATATGTCCAGCTAGTGCTACAATTCTAGAAATTCAATTCAAAATATATTTATTTATTAATTGGATAGTCTTTAAATTATCTAATATTCTTATTTATTTTCTTTGATATTACCAAGGAAGGAGAAATTTCTCATTCCTGTTCTATAAAGACTGACTCATATGTGACCTCATTGTTGAGGTCAACTGTGCATTTTTATTAGTCTCCTAATTATCTGACCTTTCCCATAAATGTCAACCTCTTGCAGATGTTCACATGTATCTTCCTATGAAGTTATTACAGGCTTCCCGGCCTTCATTCAACTTACTTGACTCACCCCATCCCCAACAGGAGGACCAGGTAAACCTGCACTTGAGGTATTTATATCACCTTTTTGCAAAACTGCCATCTTTATGGAAAATAATAGAACTAGCTATTATGGTACCTGTTAGTAACTAGTGGTAGGCAAAATGCTATTCTGGTGAAGATACATGTCCTTTTCAGTTCACCTGTAAAGTGGGCAAGTTTTTCTAGACAAGCTTTAAGAAAATTAGATTGCTATATCATATGTCTTGAAGGTTTTATTATTTCTGCTTTTCTTTTCATCAACATTTAGAAAGTTCTTATGGAAATGTTTATAGGTAAAAAGATAACTCATTTCTAGGGCATTATTTAAGTTGTGCACTATGGATTTGATTTCTTTTTATCATTTCTCAAAATAAAGGTTCCCTCTGTTCGTGTGGAAATACATATTCCTAGAGACCAGTCTGGGGAGGTGGACTTCAAAGCACTGGTTTTGCAGTTGAAGGAGACCTCAAGCTTACAGGAACAAGCTGATATCCTCTACATGCTGTATACTATGAAGTAAGTGATGGAAATTATCAATCTGGTTTAATTCATATAGAAAGAAAGTATAGCATAGTAATACAGTACAGCTTTGGAGTTTCATCAATCTCGATTTGAATATAGTTTAGCAGCCTATGCATTATGTGACTTCAAAACCTCAATTGTCTTTATTTATGAAATGTGAATTATACCTACCTCATAGAGTTATTGTAAAGGTTAACCACTATATAATACCTGTAAATTCTCTAATACAATGCCTGGCACATAGTAGGTGATTAATAACTGATAAGTATTATTATTATGGTTATTATAAAGCATCCATTATTTGGTGAAATCTACAGATAAATTCTTAACTCAAAAGAAGGAAGAATGTAGAGACTTATAGGAAAAAGAAACTAACATTTTTTAGTGTTTGCTGTGTGTCAGGTACCCTGCTAGGTACTTTGTATCTAGGTACCTCCAATTCAATATGTCTAAATTGAACTTTTATTTCCTGCCCCTCATGCCCCCACACAAAAATATTGTGTTCTTCCTCCTTTTTCATGTTGTGGTCACCATGAAGAGGCAAGATGGACCCCCTTCCCCTAAATTTGGTTTGGATATTGAGACTGATGATGCCATACACATACCAAGAAGATGTGAAATGTTTATAACTCACATAATGAGGCTTTCTAGGGAGAGCAGAGAAGGTTCTCAAGTTGCTCCTCAAAAAGCTTGAGAGAGCAGGGAAAGGAGACTGGATTTAAGGTTTTATTATAATTAGAGGGTGAGAGTTCTGACTGGCACCAAAGGAAGGAGCACTTGGACTGTCTTATCACCTTCCCAGATACGGAGGGAAAAGGAAAGGGGAGTGGTGGGACTGGAAAGCTGTCAGCAGTCAAACATCAAAAATGGAGTCAGACTCTATTAAATTCTTTATCTCCATTATTGGAGCCAACACCTACCTCATCATCAAGCTACTGCCTGCATCCAGTTAATCACCAAGTCTTGCCAGTTTTATCTCTAAATACTTTTCTTTTGCATCCCTAGTATTGCTGCCTTCATTCAGGCATTTATCCTTCACTAGGACTATTGTTACAATTTCTTAACAGTCTTTCTACTTCCATCTTTTTCTCCTCAAGCCCATAATACATAGAGGAGGGAGAGTAACTTTTCTTTTTTGCTTTTTATGATAGAAGTGTTCAAACTTAAACAAAAGTAGAGAGAATAGTATAATGAATGCTTATGGGAACCATCACCCTGCCTGAACAGTTATTAACACGTGGCTAATACTGTTTGTTACATCTATATTCTCACTCTCTCTTTCCCCTGGATTATTTTGAAGAAGATATCAGATATTATTTTATTCCTAAATATTTCAGTATTATCTGTAAAAGATAAGCAGTCTCTTAAAACATAACCTCAGTGGGACTTCTGGTTCCGGACAAGATAAAGTAGATGCATGTCTAAATAGATTCTAAGTACAGGAGAACATTTATAAAACAATCATAATAAATCTCTGAAAGGTGGAGAGAAGGCAGACCAGCCAAGGATCTCAGGATCCGAGGACCAACATGGCGATGAGGTTGCTGGATTTTCTTTTTGCCTCATACGTCCTATATTGAGTCCTGGAGAAGCCAGCAACCTAAGAAACACCAATGTGTGTAGACAACAAAAACCCCAAGGAGAAAAACCTGTTCCTTCTAGACAAAAGACTAGGAGGGGGCAGCCTAGTCTTTTTCGTCCTGTAGAGTTTTCCGCATTCTGCATTTTGCATATTATATCCTCATGATGTTGTTTAACATGTACCTCTCTCCTTTGTATTACCTATAAATTGGTAGTAAGATCTATAGGCTTGATAGATCCAGGTTCGATTTTTTTAGGCAAGACAACTTCATAGGTGGTGCTCTATACTTCCTATTATATCACATCTGGAGGCACATCATGCCTGGTTGTTGCTCTTTTTGTCATGTTAAGATTCATCAGGCATTATTAGCCTAATCTAGCCATTTTTAATTAAGTTCCTCGTTAGCTTTTCTCCTAAGGATTTTAGCAGCCATCGGTGGTCATTACCTAAGATCCATTATTTCATTAGAGGTTGCCAAATCTTGGTCTTCTAATTCTATAAAATAGTATTTTAATGTACTTATCTTACCAAGTCTCTTCCCTATTTAAAATGTTTCAGTTTGCTTCCTTTAAACAAAGGAAAATGTTTGAGATCCTTAATATGTCATTTAAGAACCTCCATGATAAAGTTCCTGCTTACCCTCTAGACTCCTCTTTCACCATTTTCTGACCTAAAATTGATATTCCAGAAACACTAAAGTACTCACAGTTTTCCACCAACGTTATGCTGTTTCTCATTTCTATGCCTTTGTTCATGTTATTATCTCTGCATGGAACTCTCTTCCTCCTCGTCTTCACCAGGCTGAGTTGTACTCATCCAATAAAACTCAGCTCATAACATATCCTCCAAGAAGTAATCTGTGAAACCTTTCCCTCCCCTACCCCCCGCTCCTTATGTATCCCTCTATAATGCACTATACAAACTGCTACTACTATATTTCCACGTTATTTTTTTGTATGTATCTCACCCCACTAGACTAAGCTCCTCAAGATCATTGAGTATGTTTTATTTTTCTTTCTAGCCTCAGAATATAACCCACTGCTTGCCTTATAGTGTGTCCTCAATATAG